CTGCTGACCCCCGCATATGCCCCCGCCCCCAAATGGACCAAATCCCCCCCGCGGGCCCCGCAGGGGGGTACCTGTTAGGTACCCTCAGAGCTACGTCTGAGGGTACCCAGGAGGACCCCCGCGGGGGTGCAACCGGGTGATGGCGGTGGTAACTGAGGTGCATACGCAGCAAACCGGCAGAAGTCGGCCCCTCGTCACTGGATCAATATCACACCTATCCATGTTGGATCATCTGAACTGTCGCTGGTTTCATCCGGACTAGCGGGGTGAATGAAACCCTACGCGCTTGATGATGATGCATGCGGAAATTTCTGTTTGAAGATATCCCTCAAATGACTCCGCGCGAGTCAATCATCGGAATTTGTGGCTGTCCTCTCGCGCGGCCCCTCTCGTTACGAAATCAAATCAATAGCGCGAGACTTTGGTATAAGTACGGGACAAACCCGAATCTAAATGACAGAATCACCTCAGAGACTCAGCGACACCAACAACAATGTCTTACCCCGAATTCCATTTCAACACCACCGCCGAGGAAGTCGCGACGACGTTCGCAGGCGAAATAAAGGGGAAGAACGGTGGGTAGATAATTGTCTTCAAGGAACCAGTTCGGGACTTACACCTGTGTAGTCATTGTCACTGGCACATCCATCAACGGAGTCGGTTTCGAGACTGCGCGGGTTATTGCGAGATACGCAAACCTGGTTGTGATCACTGGATACAACGAGTCGAGGTGCGCTGCATGCAAACTGTCGGAGAGAAACGTTCTTCACTCAGAGCGCGCCTGGAAGATTGAAACTCGCTGAAGATGCAATCAAGAATGATGCACCGCACGCAAACATTCGGACCCTCATCCCGGACCTATCGTCCCTGGCTGCCGTGCGCACCGCTGCAGCGCAAGTGAAAGCATACAAGGAGCCGATTCACATCCTTATTAATAACGCAGCGGCTCCAGTCGTTCCGTTCAAGCTCACTGTTGACGGATTAGAGTATCAGATGGCTACGGACCATTTCGGGCCATTCCTATTCACTGCGCTCATTGCGCCAAGACTCCTCGCTACCAAGACACAGAATTTCACGCCGCGGATCGTGTTTGTATCGAGCGCTGGGCATGCAGAGTGCCGGGGCGTTGACTTCGAAACGCTCAGAAAGCCTGACTCGAAGACTTACGAGATGTTTGACGCCTATTTCAAGGCCAAGTCTGCCAATGCGCTAACGGCGGCGGAGCTCTCGCGGAGATCCGGCGGTAAAATCCACAGTTATAGTCTGCATCCTGGATGTAAGTTCGTTCGCTAATCCCATGCACACGTTTTCTTGAAAACACTTTTCCATCCAGCGATCATGACGAACATCACCACCAAGGAGGAGGCGCTCGAGCCCTTGAAGGCAATGAAGGTGCTCTTGCCGGACGGCCAACCGAACACCAAGGACATCCAGTGGAAGACAATTCCCGAAGGCGCAGCTACGAGCGTCGCCGCTGCTTTTGATCCGCGACTCGAAACAAACCCCGGTGCATACTTGGATGACTCAAAGGTCGCAAACGATAAATTGGCGCGGCATGCTGCAGATCCGGTCAGTGTTTGGATGACGTTGATAGGCTGGCTACCAGACGCGCTCTGCACCAACTCTGTAAGGGCGTATTTTTGCGCTTTTACAGAGTTTACTCTTGAACCACTCGGTGTATCGTGTCGCGGTTGACAGTGTTGCGCTCAGTAGGACTTAAGGGTCTACTGCCCAGTCGACGACTGTGGATAGTGTCGACGATAGCAAGGCAGTCAGATCACTACTGTGGAATTGGTCTTATGAGTCTACACCAGGCTCAGGGCCATTAGTGACGAACGCTTGGACCGCGACCATTCCCCCAAAAAGGGATCTGTCGTTGCGTCGACTTCTCGAAAAGGGTCATTCTCTGCAGATGGGAACTTGGGCTGAAGGGCTGAGCAATGCGCGACGTTCTCAATAATAGAACTACTACTGGACAGGACTTGGCGTTACGAGACTTAAACCATCTTGTCGCGGCAACTCCCGGTTCTGAGTTGGACGTTTCCTCAGATCATGCCACGACGACGACTTGTCACATGTCAGGATCCATTCGATCACGGGACATTGAGGACGCGTCGCGGTGACACTCCCAAGTGCCACGGCGATTCGCGTCAACACCCAAACACACTAGAAATCGACACGGCTAGATCCGTGAGCCGAACCATGTGGGGGACAACTGGCGTGCCTAGGGCCATACGGCTTCTTGGGGCGCCCATGTTGGTCTCACATGCCAAGACATACCCGTTGGCCAATCCAGCACGTCGTATTCCAAAAGTATGACGCGGTGGGTTGACCCACATCAAAAGTATCATATGGACTATGGGGCGGGGTCCTGATCACTCAGGACCTGTCCGATCGTTCAACTTTTCAATTACCCTAAAAGGCAACCGATCTTAGATAGCGTAGCTACTATGCAGTTGTACAGGACTTTACTAAGCAGCGTCGTAGACAGTATAAGTAGCACGTCGTCTCTTTGTATTAGAAAGCTTTCCCCCGGACTGTGAATCACTATCATTTCAGATTGTTTTGTACAATTTGCGTGCCGCGTGATTCCACCCTAAGAAGTTCTGCTACCCCTGCCCGGTCGCGACGAGTTGCTCCCTGAGCACTTGTAGCTACTGTGATTTGAGTTTGAGTTGAGACAACAGAAAGTCGGGTTCGCCGCATCTGGTATTGTCGCGGCATTTAGTGTCGTCGCCTTAGGGCTTTGTTGAGATCGTTCCACACCTCTAGCTTGGCAGTGCGTCGACTAGTTGTGCTCGGGTTGTTTTGGTCAGTTGGCAGTGCGTCGACTTGAGAACTTTGGTTCCACACTTCTTGCCTGGCAGTGCGTCGACAAGTTGTGCTCGGGTTTTGGACATTGGATATTGGCTGTTAGTTGGCAGTGCATCGACGCGGCATTTTGGTTTACTAGTTGGCAGTGCGTCGACTTAGTACTTTTGGTTGTGTCAGTTGGCAGTGCGTCGACTTGACATTCTGGTTCTACTAGTTGGCAGTGCGTCAACTCAGTATATTGGTTGTATCAGTTGGCAGTGCGTCGACTTGATATTTGGGCTTTGCGTCACCATCTAGACGCTGTCGCTACAAGGGATCTTAATACTTCGTATTAAGTTCTGACTTGTTACAGTAAGTGGACAAAATGATTGACTGATCAGTTCTCGTTGATTAAAAATGGCCTTTCCAGGCTCTTAGAGCTCATATCATCTTAGGGTCTCTAGAGACAAAATGTAGCCTTGGGCCTATAGAATACTCCACTGAACCCCTGAAGTTGTTGCAAAATTATTTGTAGAGATATACTACCAATTATCAATGACTGGTTTTACAATAAAGACAACATTTTGCTTCTGTGGCCAGCCTTGAGCCCTGATTTCAATATCATCTAGCACATGTAGGACCCTCTCAAACATATAGTGAAAGGTCAGCACCCACTGCCATCAAGCAAGGAGGATTCCAGGCAGGGGTGGGGGCATTTGAACATGGACAAGATTTTCATTTAGTACACTGTAATTTAGAGTTCTAGATATTCTACACATGGAAACTGATACTCTTAAGGTGCATTTCATTCCAATTGACCCTTGGACAATATCAGCTCTGTGAGCCAGGACAATCAAAAAACTGATCAGTCGATCATTTTGTCCACATAGTGTATATTGTTGGTTGTGGATTGGATTAGTGTTGGTTGTGTTTGTATAGAAGATATTGGTTGAGACACCACTGTTTGCTATATATATATATCCTTGTTGTCGACTTCATCTTCCGCGACTATTGGATCTGCGTCTATTGAGAGCTGTGATACTGGTGTTCTGTCCACCCCGAAGCCCTCGCATCTTTCACACACTGAGAAGCTGATTACGAGGAGTGTGAATGTGTTTATATTTGGGTTTACTTTCATAGTAGATTCACTTGTGAGCACGCCCTCAGCATTTCAACGTCCGTGTTCCAGAGAACGATTCACTCATGAACGCTGTCAGGCTAATGCCGCGAAGTTGTGGGATTTGTCAGAGGAGATTGTCGGAATCAAGTTCGATTTTGATTAGATCATAAGAGTGTGTTGTAGAATATTCCAGATCAATGTCTCACTGCGCTCCGGGTCCAGCTGCTCACCTTCGGGGACAAGCTGACTAGCCCTAAGTAGTCTCACCTAGCCACCATGAGGGGGAAAGGTGTTTGGCCACTGTGGTGGCTAGAGGTGACTATCTAACGACAATCCGGGGCTAGCCGGATAGCCATCACTGGATCACGTCTGATCCCCATCTGCTCCCATGTCATCACCAATCACCCAGATTTTGAGCAAACTGAGTACTTTGTGATGTAACAAGTGTTGAGACTGGTCATATATTAAATTTTCATTAGGCATTCAATCAGTTTGGAATGGGTGAAGACAACTGTGAAGAGTGATAGTGCAAGTGATAGTTGTGATGAGGAGAATATTCATGCAAAGGGTAGCACTTGTGCAAGACATGACTATATGATTAGTCATATGTAATCCCCTCAGTGGCTACTCAATTAATATATGTATCAAACAAGTCTCCCATGCCTCAGTCCCTCCACATGGGCTAGACATCTGGCCAACCATGTATCACAGTCTAGTCCCCCCTGTTCCTGGCTAGCATTGAGCTTGCATGTCGCTTGCACTGCATGATCACCAGGGTGGCTATCTGGACCCACAACACAGTGACTTATGATTGTTGTAGCTGTGGCTAGTGACAATGAGCCATGAGGCTGAGGGTGATAAACTTGAGGTCACCCTCACTTTGATTCTCTTGTGCCAGAATAATTATGTTGTTGATGTGAAGGGAAACAATCACCCATGAACTGCAGTGCAGGAATGCTCACATACTGCCTTTGACTGTGGTGCACACCAGTGCACAGCAGCGCAAGCAAATACAAAATCTTCTGAACCATGAACTGCACCTACAGGTTCAGTGCAGTCCAGCACTGCCACTAACCCCCCTGAGCCCCTAACCTAGACTGTGTGATGCCATGATCCATGATAAGATAACCTGTGTCAAGATAAGATAAGATTGTTGATGATAAGATGAAAAAGTGGTTGAACTATGACACTCATCCACAGCTACAAGGTGATCTGCAGAATAGTGTGTGACACAGGCCAAGAAATCCCCCTCTAACACCAGATTCTGCTCCAAAGCCATTTGTTGGATGCACTTTACATTGATTCTAGCACGAGAGAAGGCATGGTGGATTGTGGTGAGATGGACAGGACAGTGCCGGAGCTTTGCAAGAAGAAGCTGGTATTTATCCAAGAACTCCGCCCGTTGATAGCAGGAAAGGCAGATGAGATAGTCAATGTTAAGCATGTGTAGGAAACAAGGATATCCTTGAACCGCTCTGGCTTTTGGGCCAGAATCTGTGTTGCCGGTCCAATTGTATTGAGTAAAAGCATGAGTGAGTGTCAGGGGACACCGCGCTCCTTGGGCACGTGACCATGCACATGATCCAGTGCATGCTCTCTGCTGACCTGTCAATCACCCAGCCTCCTCCTCCTCCTCCGATCCTCATCTCCATCTGTGCCGACACCCGCCCTCTCCCTCCTTCTACCAGCCATCTCCTTTGAATCCCCGCAAGCGGTCTAGCCAACCCTGATTCCTTGCACCAGGAAGTGCTACTGCCGTACGCACTCCTCCCCCTCTACTTCGGCCTTCTTCCCATGGATGTGGTCTACTGCCGTACAGGCTCGTACCAGATGCCCTTGCACTCATCCGCACCACCCCTCTTCCCAGTCGGGCATTGGTCCTCGCCTCTGATGTCTCCACTGGCCAGCCCAGCACTGGCCTGGCCACTGGGCTCCTCCAGTGTGGCCTTCCACTGTTGGTGTCTCAGGAGCTAGCTATCACTGGGCCCTCTGAGCCACTTACTATCTTATCTGGGTTTGTTATCATCTACTTGTCATCTGCCATTGTTCCATGGCAGTGATATCCCATCATCATCAGTCACTTGTCACAGCTGACTATATAGTGTGATACCTGGGCACATGGATCCTTGAACCGTTCTCTAAGGATCTCCCTCTGTGCTCAGGTGAGTAGTATACCTCCCTTGTATTTGATAGTCTCTAAGGATCCCCCTCTGTGCTCAGACTCATGTGAGGTTGTTGTGTGCTGTGTGCTCTCTTCCTTTGGGCTGGCAGGAGTTGCCCTTACAGTGAGTGTACGGGTCAAGAAGCCACAGATGTCAGTAATATCCTGTCTTGTGTAGTCTGCACAGTCTGCACTGTCGCAGACAATACCGCGCAGTGGAGATACAACCAGTAGCGATCACCTAGAAGACAGAGTCTCAGCGAGTGTAGAGACACAGGAGCTGTATCATTAGCTGTACCTAGAAGACAGAGTCTATGGTACAAGTCATAAGTCAGGTCATTAGATCGTAAGGGAGAATGCATACCTCAGCGAGTGTAGAGACACAGGAGCTGAGGATATGGAGCGTATAGTACTAGGTTTATATACCAGTCTGGAGCAGATATCATGATGTCATAGTGGAGTAATGATATCATAGATGAGTAATGGATGACGCAATAATGAGGTCAGGTATGAGGTCATTGTGGAGCGAGCCAAAGTAATCTAAGAATACTACTTATGATGTCATGTCTACATACTGTGATAGTCGCTAATACAAACAAGCTTCAACACTCCCACTCGACTAAACAGTCGGATCACGAAGACCCAAAGACAGCCAATGTTGTTGGAACTTCACCCATGCCAAAGACTTTGTGAGCGTGTCTGAGATCATCGCATCAGTCGGCACATGGTAAAGTTGGACATTGCCAGCTTCAACGGATTCTCGTACGAAGTGATAGCGGATGTCGATGTGCTTCGTCCTCCTATCATGAACTGGATTTACTGCCATAAAGATAGCGCCTTGGTTATCAACACAAAGAGGCGTGGATGGCAAGTCATATCTGAGCTCAGTCAACAAAGTGCGGATCCAGGCAATCTGGCGCGTAGCATCGCTCAGAGCCATGTATTCGGCCTCTGTTGAGGACAAAGCGACCGTGGGTTGGCGTCTAGAAACCCAGGTCACTGCACAACCGGCAATGAAGAAGGAATATCCCGTGGTTGAATGCCTGTCGTCTTTGTTCTCCGCCCAATCAGCATCGGAATAACCGATAAGGCCTGCGCCAGTGGAACCATCATAGCAAAGTTGGTAGTTTTTGGTGCCCTGAAGGTACCGGAGTATGTATTTTGCCATGTTCCAATGATGTTCTGATGGGTTGCTGTTGAACTTTGATAGACGGATGACTGCATAGGCAATGTCGGGGCGAGTACCAAGCATGGCGTATAGAAGGCTGCCAATCAGTTGCTGGTATCGGGTACGACGGTCTTCATCAACTTCTCCATCATGCTTCTCGAGCACGATGCCGGAAGGCAGGGGAGTACGAGCTTCTTTACACGAAGACATCCGGAAACGTTCTAGAACTCCTTCGATATAGGAAGCCTGATCGATCCAGATTTTACGCGCTTTGCGATCACGAACTATGTTCAGACCAAGGAAATCCTTCGCAGGACCGAGATCTGTCATTTTGAAGCGATTCGCGAGCAAGGATTTGATACGCGCTATCTCCGGCAGATTGTTGCCCATAATGAGCATATCGTCAACATACAGCACCAAGATGATGACCGTATCTCCCATTTGTTGGCGATATGTGTAGACACCGGCGTCGGAGTATGTCCGAGCAAAACCAAGTTCGAGGAGGGCATTGTGGATTTTGATATTCCACTGACAAGACGCCTGTTTCAACCCATAGAGTGATTTACGAAGGCGTGCCACCTTTTCTTTTGGCCATGACAAGAAACCTTTGGGTAATTCCGGAAGTTCCATATAGATTTCTTCCTCCAGATCCCCGTTTAGGAATGCCGTTTTGACATCCATGGCATGAATCTCCCAATCTTCGAGAGCAGCCAGAGCCATAAGTATGCGCAGAGATTCGTAGCGCAATACTGGTGAGAAGGTCTCATCATAGTCAAACCCATGAACCTGAGTGAATCCCTTGGCAACAAGTCGTGCTTTGAAACGACCGTCACGCTTCCTGCTAAACACCCATCTGCATTTGACAGTCTTTCGACCGCGTGGAAGGCTGGTCAAATCCCAAGTACAGTTTTCCTCGAGAGAGTCCAGTTCTTCGCGCATTGCGCGCTCCCACTTGAGTGCATCCGGGCTCTTTGCTACATCCCGCACGTTTTGAGGCAAGTCATGCTCAGCTTGGGCAGCTGACAACATGGACTCAATGCTGCTAGGCCTCTGATACGTAGTTCCATCTGGCATAATGCGGGGCTTATTCCGACGAGGGCGGCGATGGGCAATCGGGCGATCGTCTATCGGGCCAGGCATTAGGGGTACTTCTCGCGATCCCGTGACAGGACCTTGTTGCGCGAGGGGTGCCGGTGGCGGTGGGAGAGCAGGAGGTGGTATGCTTGCATAAGGCGTTGCAGGCACAGGATTATTGATAAGGTCAGGGAAGGTTTCCTCGAATGGTGTGAACGGCTCCGGTCCAGAGGACACATTGCCGCCGGTGACTAGCTTGGACTTGGCAGGGAATACTCGCTCATCAAACTCGACGTTTGAAGAGATTCGTATCTTGCGTTGATTCGGATCCCACACTTTCCAAGCTTTTGTCTCTCGTTCGTATCCAACGAAGATGTGGTCGGGGCGTCCATGCTCCAACCCTTTCGGGCGTTTTTCAACATCCACATAGAGAGACGCCTTGCATCCAAACACACGGAAATAAGAGACGTCTGGCTTCTTTCCAAGCCACAGTTCCGCAGGTGTTCGCCATCCCAATCGTGCCATAGGTTGTCTATTATGAACGTGGACAGATGCATCCATAGCACATTGCCAGAAGCCTTTGGATAGGCCGGCATCGAGGCGCATGCATTCCGCTTTCTCGTAGGCTGTGCGATTCCAACGTTCAGACCTCCCATTTTGCTGTGGTTTGCGTGGCGCGGACTTAGGGTGCATAATACCACGTGCATTGAGCCAGGCTGTGAGTTCATCGGACATATATTCGCCTCCACGATCTGACCGGAAGGCCAGTACTTTTGTGCCAAGCTGACGCTCTGTAAGGGCAACAAAGTTTTTAATCGCAGTAGAGGCTTGGTCCTTTGATTTAATGAACACCATCATGCCAAAGCTCGAGAAATCGTCATAGAACGAAATTGTGTAGCGTGAACCTTCCAACGACTGAGTAGGCCAGGGGCCCATCAAATCAGTGTGGATAAGCTCGAGGGGTTTGCTAGCACGTTTCTCTGATGCAGGGTACGGATGCTTGTGCTGTTTTCCAAGCATACATCCATCGCACATGCCGCGCTGGTCTTTATTGCGTCGCAAGGGGGGAACACCTTCAACTTGTGTCGGCAAGTGAGAAAGGGTCCTCCGAGCCGCATGACCAAAACGCTTATGCCACAATTCACGATCGGTAGTTTCCAGGGAAGCGAGCGCGGTAGACTCGTGAGATGCAGACACAGATGGTGCCACGAGCTCCTCGGGGTAGTACCAGTAGCAGCGATTGCTTGCTTTAAAGGTCATCAAGACATCCCCATGCGCTTTTCCCTTGTTGAGCCAATCCTTGGTGACTAGGATTGCCTTGTTGTCACCAACCACGGTGTAGTAACCAGCCTGATCGAGCGCATACCCAGAAAGGTAACGCCCTCTTATGTGCGGGTTGTAGATGACATCCTTCAGCGTGAAGGTGTAGTCCATGCCATTACTAGTATGACCCCGCAACACAATGTCTCCAATGGCTTCATTCTTGAAGCGAGCTCCCGACCCAACGACTACATAGGTGTCGATAGGCCTGATGTTGTGAAGATCGGATCGGGTGTTTGTCATATGATGTGTACAACCCGAATCCCATAAGAAACGAACTTTGGAGTCGTCTCCCATTTCTTCAACAAAAATTCCATCATCGTTGTGTTGGAGGGAGTCACTCATGAAATAGGACGAGAAGTGCATTCCATTAGAAGAAGAAGCTGCAACCGCGGGAGCGGCTACAACCTCTTTGTTGTTTACAGTGCTGGTACCATCACCACTATTCTTCTTCTCCTTCTTCTTTTTCTTCTTCCCCTCATCCTGCTTCCCCTTGCCTTTGTCAGATGATTGACCATTAGGCTTGAGGTTGGGATACTTCTTGTAGCAGGATGCCGCAACGTGACCGGACTTGTTGCAATGAGTGCAGCGGGTGGCAAGGGATGGAACGGTGGAAATCTTCGAGTTCGACGTCGTGTCGAGGTTCTCGATCTTGATATTCCCTATGACGCTGTTCTTGACATCGACCGGGTTCAAGGAAGCGATAGGACGATTGGCCAGGTAAGAGGTGACGAAACCTCTGCTGGAAGCGGGCAAGGCGGCGAGCATGAGAGTAGCGAAGAGGTAGTCGGGGATCTCGATTCCTCCCTCTGAACACTGGCGACGACGAGTCTCCATTTCCATGATTTGCTTTTCAATGGTATCACCACCGTGGAAGGTGGTGGTGTTCAGGAGGCGGTACTCGACAAAAGCATCGATGGCATTTGGTTGGCCATAATCCGTTGCCATCTTCGCAAAAACCTCACGCGCAGTGCGCTCCCGCTGACCATCCATAAAGATTCCCTTGCGCAGATTCTGGGTGATATAAACCCGCGCAAGACCCAGTGCCTTTTCATTGGCAACGTCCCATTGATATTGGCTGTCACCAGCCGTTCCAGGACGCTCCATAGAACCAGGGTTCGAGGTAGATGTGCCGTTAACCGTAATATGAGTGGGTTTAACCACTCCCCAAGTGCCCTGATGCATGCAGATGCTCATGTAGTTGTCCGACCACGTATTCCAATTGGTGCCATCGAAGACACTCAGAATGGAGTTGTTGAGCTTCTCGATTCCCGACATGGTGGGGAGATACTCGATAATGTCGGCGGTTTGGTAATGAAGAGAGGGGAATTCGATATAGGGAGGATCACCGAATAGAGATCGAAGTTCTGGAGTCCAATTCTCTTGGTGATGGAAGAACTCTTCGTTATCGTGTTCTCCAAGATCGTATAGATCCCTCCAATCGGCGTCTTGGAGAGGAATGTAAGGAGGTCCCTGAGCCCAGCGGACAACAGGAAATAGGATAACCCCAACGGGAGGGTCGTTTGTTGATGACAGGGTGATAGAGACTAGAGCGACACAGTCAGCCCTAAGTTCTCTGCAGACCAAGAAACAAAATCCCAAGTGCCAAAAAAAAACTCTGAAACGAGAACGACCAAGCGTCCCCATCCCATCCATGATGCCCATATACGCGCGGGGAATGATAACGAAATAAAGCGGTATAGTAAGTGCCCATATTTGTATCAAAGTAACGTAACTATATACGTCAGCGGCGGCAGTACCCGACGGTGATTACTGCCCTCGCAGTCCGTCACTGGCCAAGGGACACGTGCCCAAGGCCGTCCCAAGCACCGGGTTTGGCCGCCCATCTTCTCCCTTTTAAAGACATGCATACACGCAGAGCGTCATTGCATGAATCCTCGTAGTGTCACCAGCCCGCAGGGTCCCTTGTGAGGAATGCGAGTCAACCCCGAAGGATTGTTTTGCCTGGCGGAGGGATTGACCTCCAGCAGCTGTTGAGAGCTACCACACCACCTAGGCGCTTTGCGCAAGGTTCAGGAGTGGGATTGACCAAAGGACCAGTGCCTGGTGGGTATGTCCGCTGTACAATAAAAAGATGTAACGTAAAACGCGCGCGAGCGATCATGGACGGAATAGCTAACGGCGCGTCTGCCAACTGAATGACTCCCTGACGCCGCTCGCGTAACCCCTTGAGGGTGAGAGCACAAATGCGAGGACCGACATCCAGCAAGTGGGACGAGCGCACAAAGACGGCGCTCTAGAAGGGCTGAACGAGTGAAAGATACTCGCCTTAGTAAAGGGAGTAGTTCGATGTTTCTTGATTTGCCACTAGTGGTTCAGGCGGGGCCCATAACCTGTCGCAGACAATACCGCGCAGTGGAGATACAACCAGTAGCGATCACCTAGAAGACAGAGTCTCAGCGAGTGTAGAGACACAGGAGCTGTATCATTAGCTGTACCTAGAAGACAGAGTCTATGGTACAAGTCATAAGTAAGGTCATTAGATCGTAAGGGAGAATGCATACCTCAGCGAGTGTAGAGACACAGGAGCTGAGGATATGGAGCGTATAGTACTAGGTTTATATACCAGTCTGGAGCAGATATCATGATGTCATAGTGGAGTAATGATATCATAGATGAGTAATGGATGACGCAATAATGAGGTCAGGTATGAGGTCATTGTGGAGCGAGCCAAAGTAATCTAAGAATACTACTTATGATGTCATGTCTACATACTGTGATAGTCGCTAATACAAACAAGCTTCAACATGCACATTGTATGAGACAGACTCCAAAAGTTTTTGCACTGTCGAGTTTGCTGCCACCCATGGTGAGAGGCAAGACACGTTGTAGAAAACAGAGGAAAGAAGCTGTATGGCTGGACGCCCACTTCTGATCTGCATCACATGAGCTGATGCAGCCATCAAGCGCTCCTGCTCCCAGACACTTTGTGGACAGTGCAGGCACACAGACCTGCTGAAGGGTCTCTGAAACTTTTTTCTTTTTTCACAGAGGACAACATATTTGCAAATTGCAATAAATCCAATATATACAAGTAAATGATGTAAGAGGTATGACACTGCTGACTACTATCCATCAGAACACTGCCAGAACACTGCCGGATCAGTACCTAGTGACATGATCATGCTGCCATGTCATCCCCTGACAGGAAACCCAAAACCCCAAACCCAAAACACACCCGGGGTTTCTGGCAAACAGACACTTAAGAGAGGGCTGCAGGACTCTGTTGGATCAAGCTTGTTGCACTTCAATTCTTTGTGAGTATAGTTCAAGTGACACACTAGCAACCACTGCCACTGTTTGCCTATAGGTTTAAAGCCTGTAGGGCACTCGGAGCATCCTATAGGCCTATTATAGGCCATGTGAGGTCCAAGCATGTGATTATTGGTGACATCATAGATCAATTCATTAAATTAACACATCCCCATGAAGTGGGAGATGCCATTTCTGATGACGGTGCCATTGAAATTGACTTTCCAGATGAGTTCCAGCTCTAGTTAATCTTGTATACAATGCCCCATTTTGGTATTGATTGGGCACATGTTTTGATCACGTGCACATTTTATGGCCTATAACAAGGCCTATAATTATATGCCTATGCCTTAAATAAGGCCTATAGCCCTCCGGAGGTGCATTTAGGGCCTATAGGGCGAACACTGAGGTCCACTGCATGTCAGTCATGTCAGGAAGCTCAGATTCACGGGAGAAACTGGGAATAGACGGACCTTGTTCTCCATTTTCTCCGCTTAGTGCTGAGTTCCCGCCGCTTCCCTCCCCAGTCACATAATTGAAGGCTACGACTTGAGCACGCGAGTCTCCGGTCTTCGCACGCACGCGGACATGCAACACACCGCATGGAGGAGCACACCTTTCGTATTCTCCTCTCCTGGACCCCGAAATGCTTCAACACGCGGATGGCTATTAGGCTGTGCTCCGAGCCCCACGCCGACATTCGCATTGCTGTCAACCCGCTCAAACACCCGCACCATTTGCCCGACCGATCTGCCGTACAGCCCCGGCTGAATGCCCCGGCCCAACGCCTGCCAGTGCGAGCATGATACCCAGAGTAATAGCACCAGCAGTACATTCTGAGGGTGCCCCGGGACCGATAATGATTCTCAGTGCTCAGATGAGTCGGCGCGTTTGAGCTGGGTCGACGAAATTGCTCCAGCAGACAGGGTGACAGGATGAAACGGCGGATGACCGCCGCTTCTTGCCGTGACGGCCTTCCAATCACGTGTATTTGTTTCATGTGAGAGAACCCAGTTTCGTTTGGAATTTATAGCACATATTGCGTACTGACCTGGAGCCGCCCCGAGCCAAAGGTATGGCCCACGAGCCTCGGTTGATTTGAAATTCTGTCAGCTTGAACTCGCTTGAACTCATCTCGCGACACCACCAGGTCCACACACGACAGTATAAGCATAAACGGCGAGCATCGCGTCGAGCATGGAGCTTAGCCGCTCGCTGCGTCAATCGCACCCGCGTGAATTGTGTCGACTCGCCGGAAACACCAGTATAAAGACGCACTCGAGTCTCGTTAGAAGTATAAATGAACTCTCTTCCCAATCCCGAAGTTGCGGAGCGGTACGCTCAGGAGCGCGACAAACGCCTGCGTCCGGATGGCACATCCCAATTCGTCCAGCTCTCAACGTCGGACAAGTACAAATACCTCGCGACCGACCCGTGGGTCGACCACGCCGCTCTCAACGCCGCAGCGCACGTGCTCAGCGACGGTGACGACGTCAAATTCCTCATTCTCGGCGCCGGGTTCGGAGGCTTGGTGCTGGCAGCGCGGTTGATCGGGGCCGGCTTCGACGCATCGGACATCCGCCTGGTCGATGCGGCGGGTGGATTCGGGGGGACTTGGTACTGGAATCGCTATCCCGGGCTGATGTGCGACGTCGAGAGCTACGTCTACATGCCACTGCTCGAAGAGACAGGTTACATGCCCAAATACAAGTATGCGCACGGGGACGAGCTGAGGGAGCAGGCAGAGCGCATCGCAGCGCACTACCGGCTGCAAGCTTCGCTGAGAACAGTTTATCACAGTGCAGACTGGAGCGACGAACACAAGCATTGGACCGTGAAAATGCGCGAAGATCGGGGACCAGACGAACCGGAGCGCTCGTTCTCGGTCTCCGCGCAGTTCGTATGCCTCGCTGCAGGGGTGATAATGTCGCCGCAGATCCCATCCTTGCCTGGTTTCGATGAGTTCAAAGGCCCGACATTCCACACTGGTCGGTGGAACTACTCCGTCACAGGCGGATCCCCGGCATCTCCGAATCTGGACAAGCTCAAGGACAAGCGCGTGGGGATCATCGGCACCGGCGCCACTGCGATCCAGGTGATCCCTGAGCTCGCCAAGTGGGCCAAAGAACTCTTCGTGTTCCAGCGCACACCCTCCAGCGTCGACGTGCGAAACCAGCATCCCACTGATCCAGAAGAGTGGAAGAACAAGATTGCGACTGGCAAGGGATGGCAGCACGCCCGGTCGGTCAACTACAACGCCATATTGGCCAATCAACCCGAAGAAGGCCCGGATCTCGTATCCGACGCGTCGTGCCAGATCCCTGCGTTCTGCGGAATTATTGGTGCGCCAGGGATAGTGACGCCTGAGCAGATTCCGGAGCACATCGCAAAGCTGCATAGTTTGGACTTGCCACGCGCCGAACGGGTCCGGGCACGCATCGACGAGATTGTGCGGGACCCGGAAACCGCAGCGAAGCTCAAGGCGTGGTACCCCGTCTGGTGCAAGCGGCCGACGTTCCACGACGATTACCTTCCCGCGTTCAACCGCCCGAACGTCACCCTCGTTGATACGGACGGGAAGGGTGTGAATGCGCTGTCCGCGGACGGCGTAGTCGCCAACGGCACCGAGTATCCCATCGAAGTGCTCGTCCTCAGTACCGGGTTCCAACTGACCCTCGGAGCAGGCACGGGCAGCCCCGCCTCCCGGGGGAGGTTCCGCGTCACGGGCGCAAAGGGGAGAGACATGGACAACAAATGGACCGAGGAGGGTTGCGGCACGCTGCACGGCATCGCGTCGAGCGGGTTCCCCAACATGTTCTTCCTCCCGGGCCTCTCGCAGCTCGGCTTCGCCGTGAACTTCACGTTTTCGCTCGAAGCCACGTCTAAGCACATCGCGGCGATTGTCGCCCAGGCGCACTGCGTCGTCGGTGACGCCGAGAGGCCAGTGATCGAGGTGGAGAAGAGCGCCGAGGATGCGTGGACGGCGGAGGTCGTGAAACGCGCGACATGGTTCGCGGCAGTCGGGGGATGCACGCCAGGATACTTCAGTCTCGAGGGCGAAGGCGGCCGACTGAAAAGTATGGCTGATCAGCTCAAGGCCGCGAAATCTGCGGTATGGGGAGAGGGGATCGTTAGCTATGCCAAAATCCTTGAGGAGTGGCAAGCACAGGGCGGTCTCAAGGGCTTTAGTGTCACGGCATGACTCTTCGTCACGGCAACTCAGAATCCAAATAATAATCATAGTATAATATAGCCAAAATCCGGATGTAATCTACCCAAAAATTCAGTTGTCATGCAAAACAGCCAGGGAATAATCCTTCAATAGGATATATGGACCTTTTTGGGATCTGACCTTTCCCTTACAAAGATTTCCAAGAAAATGCTACTTACCGAATGTAAAAGGAGATGAAAGGAGTATTATTTCTTACTCCCGTTCAAAAGTGTGTTCATCATTTAAGTACCTGATATAATTTTTTTGCCTTCTTTTTCGATGAGCAGCTACTGATATTAAAGCCCAGGACGAAATAAGACTACTGCTAGTGGGAGATATTGATGTTTGGGGTTGCCCAGGGGTCCAAGAGAATGACTGACATCTCTCCGGCCAAGTCGAATTTCTGTTTTTCTCTGTACGTTCAGAGCAATTCCCCAGAAAAAGATTCAGGTTCCGACCGGTTCAAGAAGATTCACACGGCTTCAAGCAAATCTGTCCCGACTGGTTTCGTGGCAGAAGGTCCGTAATGCCGGTGGTGGCTATTTCAACCTGACGTCCATGTCTCAGCGGGCGAAGATCATCAAGGGCTGTCGGAACGCAGCTGGAAATACAAGCGAGTTTCTGCTGAGGTAAGATGTGGTTGAAGCCGCTCAAGATACGTTCGAAATCGAGGATTTTTGGCCCCTATCGCATGCAGTGATTATTTCATAGCTTCGCTGTATACAAACTTTTGTCCTCCACTGGAGCTCATGAGGGAACCGCGTTATATCTGAAGCGGACAAGATGAGGTAACAAATTTCTAATCTGACCGACTGCGCGGTCTGAGACAGAGCAAAGGGGGCAGTCCAGATCGACGACAGTTTCCGCCGACGGGCTCGTGAGAATCCTAACGAGATACAGTTCCTTCAGCGGCCCATCGATGCACAATTTCCGCAGAGCACAGCCAGAGACAGCAAAGAAATCAACCAGAATCTGCGCGAATTCGCGCCCTTGACCAGCATGCGCGTGGATGTATTCGAGACTCATCTCGGTCAAATCCGGCGCCCGTAGCCGACCCAGCAGCTCACTAAAGAACAGGCGTCGGTAATTAGTAAGTTTGATCCGCCCTGCGGCGCAGGTGACTTGGTCGGGGAGGCCAAGGCGCTTCCAGGTCAGCTTGCTGTTATCCAGATGGAGCAGAAAAATGGGGGAGACCTGGCTGCATATCCACAACACGTCGATGAGATCCATCTGCTCGAAACGACCCATCTCCAGCTGGTGCCACGGCACGATAAAATGGCGCGGGAAAAGCTGTTTGCGCATGGCGAAATCCACCGAACGGAGTGCGGGGAACGAGGCACGAGTCGGCGCAGTCACCATCCACGAAGTCGTTTGTATGCGGAGTGATCGCAGCAGAGAGAATGAGTTTGAGGGCGGCGCAAAAACACGATTCAGAATGGACCCCGTTATCGATTCGCCAGTGATCGACGCGAGCTCCCACCTCCGGCACGTCTCGTATATAGGTTCGAACGGGTACAGCTCCCCAATCTCGACGTTGGAGTGGACGTGGACCGAGAGAGGCACCGCACCAGCCCGCGCCAGCTGGGTCTCGAGCTTGCCGGGTCCCGGCGCCGCATGATCGTACCCGCCGACGAAAATCGAAACGGAGCGCCAGAGATGCGGGGCGTTGAGCGCCACGGCCCGCCAGCGCGCACAGACCCAGGTGATCGTCCACGGCACACGCCGACGTTCCCTGCGCGCGTCCTGGTCGACGCAGACTCTGAACACCTCCGTCAGAATCTCGTTCGGAACACGCCTGATTGGAGCCAGGATGGAGTTGTGCTGGGAGATGAAGTGCCGCAGCTTTGCGCCCTGATGCTGCAGGGCCGTGATGTGCGCTTCCAGGTCGTTCAGCTTCTTTTGGGCGTCCGCGATGGCAGCAACGATTAGTTGGGCTTCATTTTCTGATGAAGGAGGGCCGGCGGTGGAGGGCAGCAGCTCGGGGATCGGAGTGAGAGGGAGATTGTATGCGCCATAGTCTAATTCCATGACCGGGTTGTGGTCACAAGCGCGAATACGTAAGCAGCACTAGTATGTGCTTCGGCCTTATGGGCAAAGCGATCGGATCACGGATCAATCCGCTGACCTGGTGGCCTTGCTCCGTTCCACACAGAATCACAGCATGCACAATCCACGACTATCAGATGATGCACTCTCAAGACCATCCTCAACTGTAAGCGAGTACCGCATGTGACTCCAAGGCACGACCGGGGCACAAGCATCGGCTTCACACGAGCAATCCGTTAGAAGCCAGTACTCCTTTGTGGCCTTCACAGGCTCAGTGAGAAAGACTCTTGCAGCAAGAAACTCCGGCCTTCCTGAGAGAATGAACCTTCAAAGGCGTTGAAAACACGCGTCCAGCACGAGTTCAAGATCTCCGGTGTCCGAATTGCGCTCGGTCTGATCAACGGACTGGGGGGCACGGTGCCAAGATAGCGATCAAAAACGGGCAAATATCCTCGTGTGCATCGACGAGGCGACTGCTTGCTCCTTTACTTCTCCCTCTGCTCCATCGCCCTTTCTTCTCCTTCTTCGCGATGTTGTCTTCTACTATTTCAACCATTCTCCCATCGCCGACGGTCAATCTGGACAAAGCATCCAATCTCACCAGCGGCCTCACGAGTATCCTCGCATGCATCATTCCCGTCCTTGCATTTCTGTATTTTGGGGCTATAATCCTGACCTGGGATTATTCGAGGCGGAGAGAGGTCGCCATCGAGAAGAGGGCGAGCTCTGCTTCGATGATTTCGAGATTCAGAAGGGTTTCTGCGCCAGGTAAGTATACTTCCCGATATTCTCGAACTGAGGAGCTCAAAGTGTGCGTACGCCGTTCAGTCGCATACGCGTTCACTGTGATCATTAGCCTGATTGTGGTGAGTAACGGATAAAGTTTCGACATAACCAATGAAGCGGCCGCTAGATTGCTTTTTCGAGTTGGCTGCTCCTTCGCTATTCCTTGTTCAACAATTATCCAAGCCCCAAAGTTCAGATCGCACTACGGCTTGTTTCGTGCGTCCCTCTCTTCCCCATACCAAAGTCATCCGTGACCGACTGAACATGTACTAGATTCTCCGCGAGCTGGACGTTCGTTACCTCAGCGCTGCTCACCATCCTCGTCTTGCATCCCTCATGGTGCAAATACGCTCTCTGCTCGCTCGGGGCACAGACTCTGTGGGCATGCATCACATGCGTATTATGGCTCGCTAGCGTGCTCGTGTTCAACCGTGCGACACCCATCGCCGTGATATTCCGGGCTGAGGTGTGCGCGGGGATCGTGTACTGTCAGCATCTGCAGACCGTGCTTGTGCTGGCAGTCCTGCAAATGTGCGTGCGGCTGTCTATTGGCAGCGGAAAATGAAGCTGACGGTTCATCATGCAGGTCTGGATTCGCGATTGGCGTGACGTATCTGGGTTGGCGTTCGTGGCAATGCGCCCAGCGCGTGCGACAATCATCTGTCCAGCCAGTTTGACCACTGAGTGATCTGGCAATGCTTTATTTATCTAACTATGTATCTTCCTTTGAGCTTCAAGCTGCTCGATTTATCCAACTAGGCCGCCGGGGAGTTTGAATTTACAATACCTGGCCGGTGAAAGCCAACTGTATGGCTGCGGCAAGATCGCGGATCAGCAATTCCTGTTGATGACATCAAGGCCCTCGGACAGCGTCCTTGTCCTCTTGTCTCTCACGACGAATATAGGTGGACAGGCAGCGGTGTTTGCCTTCTTTCCTCCAAGATCTTCCGAAACAGGATCTCATCTATTCACTCTCTTTCTTCCCCGTGACCAGCACACGAGCCATAAATACTAAAGCGAGAACCAAGCCCCACTAGACTGTGTATATGATCACATACGCCGGAAGAATCGCCTCTGCCCGCGGAATGAAGACGGACAAATCATCGGGGATCTGCCAAGCATGAGTTTCCCCACCATCCATCTCGATCACCGCAATCGGGGTGAGGACGACGTACCTCCGCATTCGAAGCCACAGCCGCGTCGCACGCAATCATCACTCGATACGGCGTGCTCGTCGCGGACGTCGAGTGCCCATCTGCGAGGCTCGGGTTCCGGAACGCATATACCCCGTCGCCGAACCTAGTCATTTCCCGCACGTCATATAAAAATCCGCACGGAATGGAGGACAGTGCCCGCACCGGCCGCAGTTAGCCTTTTCGCCGAACGCAAACTCGTGGAAGGACGACTTGACGATGCTGCAGATGCCGCACGAGCGGAAACTGCAGAGGGCAGGGCCTTTGGTGCCGAGGTCGCAGATGCATTGCGAGCTGTGGAAGAGGCGGATTTCGGTCGTCGGGTGCTGGGAGCGGCTGCGTTTGTGAGATGTGGGGTCAAAGAATCATCGATTCGGAAGAGGAGTGGGCCACGCTACCGGAACGACTCGTGTCGAGCCTTGATGTCGCGGGGGACGGAGATCTGGTATACCTTCTCCACTTTGGGTTTTGAGCCCGAGGGATTGTCCCACTCGCTCAGGAATTGGGCCCGCACTGCTTGCTCTGGTAAGTCGCAAGTGAACGTTTATCAAGTCACTCACCATCCCTGAAGCTCGTTGCCGAGGGACTGACTTCCCTCAGTCGTGGCCCGGGGTATTTGCGTTCGCAGGGGAGACACAAGTCGCCGATCGCACGTGGGCTGACCTGGCACATATCGCACGCCTCGGCTTGGCCCATCTGAACACCCTGTCTAGGTCACACAAACCTCAAAACACGCCGTGGCTTTCATTCATTCACCCTCGACTCACTTTCCGTGTTCATCCGAGCAAAAGTTTGCGAACGCCGACTTCCCGGTGGCACGGCAGCCACGTAAGACACACGCTGTGAGATACTGGGTGTTGCTGCTCTCGGGCTGCGTCGTCGCCTGGGCTTTCTTCGCACAGCTGCGACTGCAATATGGGTGCTGGGCCCCTCCCAGTTCGAGGAATTTGGGCTTCTGGCCACATTGCTGGAGTGCCCGGGTGTGAGTGAATTGGACGGACACCGATATAGGAACCCAGCATGCGGACGTACGTCGCACAAATCCATAGCAGGGACCACCGAGATGGTTTTCTGTTGGCGAGTTCCCCAGTGCAGGATCGAGGGCATAGTTTGATGCAGGGATGCTGGGCAGTGTTGGGTTTTGTTTCGGCTGTCCAGACTGCATCGGAGCTTGAAGAGTCGAAAAACATGCTGCAACGGCACGGAAGATGCGCCCAGACGACACACCCACCCCACGTTGATGCTGCCCCGCATCGATGGGGTTCCTATTTATGTCGATTCCCCGCGTGTTTTTGGACACCACAGGCGCTTCACTCTTCTGCTCTCTCTCGGGATGACTTCTCACCTTCCGGCGGCGCTCTCTATTCTCCAATCGTTCGCGTCCCAGTACCCTGGAGGGAAACAATTCTGGACGCCGCCGATCAGCGTCTCAGTGCCTGCGACGACAACCACGAACCCTCCGGGACAGACTGCTGGACAGAATGCTGCACCCGGTCCCGCGCCATCGGCGCCTATCAGCATCCCAGCCAAACCAGCGCCCCAGCGCGCCAATACTACGGGCAGCGCCGCACTAGCCAGCATCAGTCCCCCGGCGTCTAACACGCAGTCTGTGATGTGCGAGGTGCGTCGTGCGCTTTGGTGGCTATCCGATCCTTCCCGCTCAAACGATGCACTGCAGAACTGTCAAGTGCGAGCAAAGTACCATGACGGGACTAGGCTCCACCCCTACTGCTCCAAAAGCTGTGCGAATCAAGCGATGCTGCCGACCCAGCAGCCGGGCGTGAGCAGCGCCTCCCAACCGAGGTCGGCCAACTGTGATGTGCGTGGCACCACGGAATCCATCACAATGCTGTGATTGACGGGCGGCTCGCACAGTTCTGCAACGTGCGGCCAAAGTATTTCGATGGGAAGCGCACCCATCCGTTCTGCAGCAAGGCCTGCTCGAAGGGCGCCAGCGCGCAGAATCCGCAGATCAAGGCAAACGCGAAGGGGAGCTGCCATGCGCCGGGGTGCCAGAAACCGGTGCACACGAATGCGAACGGCGGCTCCGGCAGCTACTGTTCACTGGCCCACAAGACGTGCGTGTGCTTTCTGCCCCTTTTCTGGCGATCGTCTGTCAGTCAACTCGTGCGCGTGCAGATTGGGCGAAACGATCTGTTTGATGTGCAAGCAGGCGGCGAAGCAGGCGCACTCGCATTTCTGCGGGCCGACATGCGCCGACGATGCTGAGAAGAACGGCCCGATGCTACTCGAAGTCCCGCTGGGCCATGTCACATTCAAGAGTGGTGAGTGGGTGAAGTGTCTGCCGTATTCCGTGGAACTGATGTTACTCGGCGTTAGTTGCGGATCAGTTCAAGGTGTGTGTGTCTGTCAACGAGCTTGGTGAGGCCCTCATGTTTCATACAGACGTCCTGGAGACACTCGAACAAACACGTTCCGCCGGTGAAACGTATCTACAAAGTCGTGGCACCGCACAGCTCGATGGCCGCTTACAAAGCGTATCAGTGCGTCGTGCTCCCTGCTCGTTCCTTGTCCGCCGAAGGCTCATATCTGCTTCGAAAAACAGAGCCGCAGTCGAGAAGTCCGGGAACTTCGTGGCCACCGGACGGTCCGCTGGGAACGAGAACCGGCGGTGGCACGGGACCCGGCGGGAATGCACCCTGGGTGACAAAGGCCACTCGCCGCAGTTCTGCAGCTCGACGACGTGCTCGCTGTGCTGCATCATCAAGTCGTCATTCGACATCAGTCTCTGGGGCACCAAGACGGGCTGGGGCAGATTCGGGAAAGGGATCTACACGTCGTCGACCTCGTCCAAGTGCGTTGTGTGTTGTGCCGGGATAGGCTTCCGAGCGGCGCTGACGGCGGATTGAACAGATCGGACGACTATTCGAAAAACGACTGTAACTCTTCGCTCAAGGCGATCCTGCTGAATCGCGTGATCGTTGGCAAGGGGTGTAAGCTCACGCACGACAACTCCAGCCTGACGTCTGCTCCGGCCGGGTATGATTCCGTGCGTGTCTCTTGCGCTTATGCATCCATTTCGACGCTCACGCCTCGTCTGTCGCAGGTCCTGGCTGAGAAGGGCGGCAGTCTGAACTACGACGAGCTGGTGGTGTACAACAATGACGCGATTCGGCCGTCGTTTCTGGTTATGTATGAGCCATAGGCAAGAAGAGGCAGTAAATTATTCGCAATAGTTAATGTTATTCAGCAAATGGGGCATCCACGCTCCCAATGTATTGAACTCTCCCTTGGGTATGGAAGGGGGGCAGTCCTCGCAATGTTCAGCCGATCAGGCCTGCAGTTGACAAATATCATTCTTCAAGCTTTTACTTTCCGAAACAAGTGACAGCCATAGTGAGAGGTGACGATGAGCGACTAGTGCATCCTTGTATTCTGTATGTGACGTGATAGCTTGTGCCAGTCATTCGTCCAGTCTAATCCAATCCTATCCAGTCTAATGCAATCCAATCTAGAATCTTCACTTGGCTCCGTCGCCGAGCGCAGGCCACGGTCCACTCAACCCAGCATTCAAGCTCGCCCCTGCGGCGGCACCGGAAACCATCCCCGCCGTCGCCGCACTCTTCCACTTGCCAGCTACCAACGCGCACTTGGCAGCCTGGTCGAGAATGGCGTGGTACAGAGGCTTGTTGAACCCGACACACTGCAGGCCGACACAGGCGACGCGCAGGGCGCCGCACGAGTAAAGTTGCGACGTCTCGTAGATGTTCTGTGGGGATGTGTTCTTGCGCCCGGCGATGGTCTCCTTGACAAGCGCTTGGGTCGTCTGCGGAGAGAATGGGATTGCCAGCCAGGGTGCTCAATATTGCGCAGGGTCGACCAGGATAGGGGAACGTACCTCGGCGGACAGTGCATCCCACTCTTTCGGCGTGAGATCGGCCATGCGGAAGCCCTTGTACACGCCCGCGTAGTACCAGTTCCCGTCCTTGTTGTAGAAGCATTCTTCGTGTGCGCACGGTGACTAGTGAGTCCAACGCGATAGAGGAACGGACGAGGGCTCACCGGTCGGCTTGCTCATGCGCCCCGTGACGTCGATTACATTCCAGCGGTGGGCGGTGGTAACGCGCGGGTTGGTCGTGCACTTGAAGAGCGGCATGAGCATATACCCGTGCTCCTCCCGCTCTGGGCACCAGGAAGTCGTCGGTTCTTGGAACACGCGGTAGTTATTGAGTCTGGGGGCTTCGTGAGCACGGGCGGACGGTCCAGTCGGAACACGGAAAAGGGGACTTGCACGCTTCGAAGCGGCTGCGGGTCACCAAAGAAGTCAGTTTCAGTCAGCGGAAGAGCTTTGAAGAGACAGCAGTGATAGGTACTCCAGTAGCGTTTGCGAGAAACTCATGCAGCGTGAACGGAGGCGGGAGCAGGATGGGCTTGAGTGTGTCGTCAGGAGGCTCAGCGGGCAGAGGCATCGTCATCAGAAAGTCGTGTCTAGCTTTGATAAGGTCTTCAGGTTCGTTCAATTGATCCGGAGAGTAGAGTATATGCTGAGAGATGGGGGTGTCCGACGTCTTGATATCGAGAGCTGAGAACGGGCGGTAGAGGGGCACGCCACCAGGCGCAGTGTGGTCAATCCCGTTCTGATGCATTCCATCGGTTATTGGAAGCAAGTCGCCCAGATCGAGTAACGATGCCGCACCTCTTGCGTTGCAGTGGTCTGCGCGATCTCCGTCGCAGCGCTCACCTTACTAACAGCAGCAGCGAGCTCTTCCCGGAGACTCTTGATGGTAGATTCTAGCGCGAGGACTTGTTCGTTCGGCGCGGCCTTGCCCTGACATGACTGTTGCTGCAGGCGGTCGATGATGCACATCTTTTGGCGCAGTGAAACGTAGGCTTCAGAGAGACGCTGGATGGCGGCGTCGCGCGCGGACAGGGCCTCGGTGGCACGCTTGCGCTCGACTTCAACCTCTAGTACCATCTCGAGGACGCTGAACGGATCCTGCGATGGCAGGTCTGTTACAAGAGGCGTGAGGGGAACGCCAGACGTGCGCGCGTACCGTCGGCTTGAGAGACGGTGTGCCGGAGCCCTTCTTGATTTCGAGAAGCTCTTTTGCGCTTGGAAGAACATTGACGGGTGTGATAGTGAGAGGAGCGGCCATAGAGGATAAGTACGGTACGCTAGCGACGTGAGCGACAGAGATTGGAAGTAAACACAGCCACGGTTTCATTGTCTCTCTCAGGCTCCTTCATCATTATCTAGGTTTTCGCTGTCAATCTTCTCCCACGGGTGCTTGGCGCAATGGCTAGCGTGTTTGGCTTCGATGCTCTACGTGTTACCAAAAGGTTGTAGGTTCGAGTCCTACAGTGCTCGTTTTGGTTCGTTCACCAACCGAGCAACAGTTTCCATCTATGACTTCTATACACCCTCTATCTCCATGAAACCCACTTCCAAGACTTCAGCCCTGTGAGCACTGCAGCGAGACCCTCAATATCTGTCTCGTCATGACACTGCGACCACTCACACGAGGAATTGAAACGAACGACACAGAGGATGCCCTACGGTGTCGTGTCGGGCGCTCAACCAGCGGCGTTCGACTTCCACCGGAGCACATCGAGCTGCGTCTCCTGGAAATTGGTTGATGCTCTGGGAAGATACATCGCGAGAAACTCAGCCATACCTTTCGGGCGAGTCCGGCCTCTGAAATGAATGTTTTCTGGTAGTAACCTGAGATTGGGTCATTCCAGAAGGCTCTTGTCTCCGGGCCCCTCCTGGCGCTCGTTCATGGGAGCAGGCGCCTGGGATCGTGCACCGTTATTCTCTGCAGGTGGCAGCAAGACGAGGGATGTCCACGCACCAAACAGCCGAACGCGGAGGACGTCTTTCAAGATAGACTTGAGCCGAGGACGGATTTGCATAGTGTGCTGCGGGGATTCGCTCGAGGTATCTACGCTTCGCGAGAAGGTGCGAGGAAAGAGAGGGCGAACGAATCGACAGCGATCCTCTTGCGGGGCGAAGCGAAGCGAAGGAAAGACTGGATGGAGGCTGCGCTGCGAGGGTGCCCCGGGAAGCTCCGGCCCCGGCCGGCCACTTTATTTAAGGTCCTGGCTCGACGGCGAGTGCTGTCACTTAAGAATCCAGTGCGAAGCTGAAGGAAGGGGGCATCGAATGCTAGCGTGCGTCGCGGTTGCGGTCTGGAAACGTCGCCAACGGCACGAATGCCGAAATAAAAGCCAAATCAAGCTCGTTGGGATGTATTCAATCAGGGAGTCCCCGAGGGCCAGATTCGAATTGCACGTAATGAGACTGGTGAATGGCGAATCGACGGTGTGCAGTATGCATGTGGCCTCCAGACACTCAGAAGCTCAACAGCAACTTCGACTGAGACAATATACGCGACACGTGACTCAGGAAGCTGCACACGTGATGTCTCCCACTTCTCTCCTTCCGTGTCGCCGTCGGTGACCGAAGTAAGGCTGACAGGGCATTGGGCGTGCAACGCGGATGACTCTACAGGAATACGCGCTAGCTGCACATGTCCAGACACAGGCGATGCAGCGGCGGAACATATCCGTTCTGAACGAATGGAGCACATTTGCTTGGCGTGAGTGCTGGTTATTAACAGCCAGGACGAACGTGCACTGGGGCGAGCCAAGCGACAGCCTCGACCGGGTGAAGGCTCGAAGTGGACTCGAAGTAATGTCCTGAGGTCACCTGGCGCTCCAGCGCCCCGAGTTTACGTGCTATGTGGATCATATGACCGCATCGGACGCGAGTATGAATGAAGCTGGTATGTATATATGCGCGCGCTGGCCAGTGTCTCATCCACCTATCCGTCCACCTTCCATGCCTGCGCATCTCCCAGTCGAAATCGTCGAGCAGGTGCTCGACTCCCTTACCCCTGCAGCGGACACGCGAACGCTCGGAGCTTGCGGACTCGTCTGTCCGGGATGGAACCCCCGCAGCCGCCACATCATGTTTTCCAGCCTCGTGCTCTCTCCGCGGAACATCGTCGCATTCCAAAAGCTGTTGATCTCGCCGCAGTGCACACTGGCAACGTCTGTATTCGCCCTCTGCATCGACGCGTCGCCGGAGGAGTCGGATTCTGATGCGCTCGATTTACCGTGTTCATCCCACGCACTTCTGGCCTTCGTGAACAGTCCCCTCTTCGCTCTTCTATCAGGCGCACAGTCTCTCCATCTCCGTAACTTCGACTGGACCCGTCTTCCACCTGCGTCCCAGGCACAGTTGGCCCGGAGCCTGTCGACGCTGTCAGGCATCCGCCAGATTCATATCGACTCTTGCTCCTTCCACGACGCGGCGATCCCTTTGAGTCTGGCAAGCATGTTCCCCCTCCTCCACTCTGTCCGATTCCAGGCGCTCTCGTTCTCAAAGTACCTGGACTACAACCTTGCCGGTGCTGCATCCTTCCGCATCCCAGCCAACTGGTCAACGATCGAAGTCGATGCCGGCGATACCGTTCCGGTTGTCACGGCCTGTGTGCACGCCAATCTGAGTTTCGGGTGGAGTGCCGTGCGGCAGCTGATCCTGCGCAACGCACATCCCGCTCATCGAGAGCATGTCGAGGGGCTTCTGAGATGTATACGAGAACGGGGTGCGTCGTTTGCTGCACATGGAATGCACCAACATCTCATTCTATTATTTATTCAGGGGCGGATGTATCCGTCGTCGCTAGCTATGCGGAACCCTGGCAGAAGAGTTAATCTAACATCCAAATCACGTGAGCGCGTAGGAATCAGAGTCGGGTTGGCGTTCGTCTCCAGAGAGCGTTCTTGACTTCACATCTGGTCGGATTGCCCTGGCCAAACAGAAACTGAAATTTCCGGCTGCTGAGTCGAGTATCCATTGAAACATCGCAAATATCTCGGATCTCATCCCTATAGTTTCCAGCTTCATTGACTTTCCGTAGAGAGACAAAGAGCCCAGAGGCTCTGAGGGACATAATCTGTTCAATTAAGCAGACTAAAAGTAGATAATTCGTTTTGGAAACCAGCCGTCTCTTTCGTTGTGGGCAAGTCAACGAATCTAATACACAAGAACGAGTACTGTTTATCCGTCTGGAAACTGACCTGGAAATTATTTGATACCATTGCACTTGGCTCTCGAGAATCTTATCAACGCCGTTCCCTTTCAATTACTTATCTCCGCTTTCTGGTCGCCGACCATTTCCTTGTATAGAGATCAAGCCAAGGCGCAGATGTTTATTTGATTATTGAGGAAGATGGTCGTTGGATTGGCACTGTAGATCAATGTTGATACCGTACCAGAGTTGAAGTTATCTACACTACGTATTGGGCCTTCATGTCTATTATCTGTGAACCGTGCATCAAAGCGGATCCAAAGATGGTCGAACATGGAGATGGTATGAATTTCCCCCCGTTGAGAGCCGGCTCGCTACGAGGGTAGTCCACAGTGAAGTGAGACCGGAGAGACGGCACTGTCAGGGGGCGTTGAAAGAGACTCACTCGATAGGGGAACGTAAGTGCACGTTTGAAAGACGACGTCCTGTCCGTGGGCGATTCCCGGATTGATTACTCTCATCAAGCATCTTTCCACAATGTTGCTTCTGACGTATCGTAGAGACACGTTCCGCAGTCTGAGAATCGACTCGATACTCTTATCAAGTCAGTGCATCTACATAAATTCACATACTTATCGTATTCGTCGTCCCTAATGTCGCTATCAAAATCACGTCGAACGACCGGTCTCAATCTGATGTATGTTCCCAATCACATACAACCATTGAGGACGAAGATAGCGATAGCAGAGCCCTTCATACCGAGGGAAAATCGCTCCCGGATCCACTCACACATTCCTGGGGCTGTACGGAGAGAGAGTGTGAAGATGGAAACTATAGTGCAAATGTTATGAACGCAACGACCTCATGCCCGAGTTGAAGGGCTAGACTGTCTTGCACGTAAATTTTGGCAATCGATCGGTTGAATGGCCATTCCATCGTCCCCTTTACATCAACTTCTCATTGCGGCGTGCAGGCGATCTTGAGTCTTCGATCCCTCAAGCAGCAGCCTGCTGAGTCATTCAGACTTGAGATTGCAGTGGCAGCCATAGATGTCAGCAGTTTGAGCCAGATTTTTCTGCACATTGGTAACGCAGAGCGCTAAATCCGAAATGTTCGCGTGTGAAAGATTCAATTTGCGACGGTGCGGAACATTGGAACGAGTGATCTGTGTCAGTCGGAGAATCGGTGCGAGTGTTTTCAGCGAGCTTACACGATCCCCGGGCGTGCAGTTGGCGCAGCGAAACGCCAGGCTCCATCTTCGACGCGAAGCTCGCCGGTTTATGCTTATACTGTTGTGAAGTATGGGCAAGGTTCCATCACTATCTTTATCAGTCAGCATCACGAGTCAGGTCTGAAAAATTGGGCACCGCCACTGACACAATTTGGCCACTGCTCAGCTTGAATCATTCTGCGATATTGCTCAGTACCCCTTGTCTCAGCGGGGCACTCGTCCGACCAAATCCAAAGAGATTAATCCACGAGACTGCAGTTATCTCTGATGCAGCCATCAAGACGAATCGAGCCGAGAATCTTCCCAGTTCCTCTGGCTGCAACTTTGACACGGACCGTGTCTTCGACCGGCCCCCAATGCCAAATAAAGACACGTACGCGCGCCGGACGTAAGCAATCTCTACGCGGCAGGAAAAACGGACTCTAGCAGAATCCCGGAACAACGCAAAGTATAAACGCGCAGGCCCATCTGAGCACTGAGAATCACTCTCAATCCACAGTATGCCCTCAGACTCGACTACTTCTGCTCCTACCCCTCTCCGCATCACGATCGTGGGCGCCGGGCTGGGCGGCCTCACCGCAGCCTTGGCCTTGCGCCAGATCGGGCACATCGTGCAGGTGTTTGAGCGCTCTGACAGCAATCCGGAGGTCGGCGCGGCGCTCGGACTGCAGCCCAACGCGATGCGAGTGTTGAAGCATTTTGGTGTCCAGGAGGAGAACATGAAAGGCGTGCTCTTGCGCGGGGTGTGTTGCCTGTTCGCGTGTGTGCGAAGACCGGGAACTTACGCGCTTAGGTCGTCGCTTTCGACTATGTGACCGGAGAAGGAAGCGGGAGGAGCTTCGCGCCAAGTGGAGAAGGTGGAGAGAACGAGGTCGGTCTACTCTCTCTCGGGATACCGAGCTTGCTGACATGACGGACGCGCAGTGGTCGCTGGCGTGTCATCGGACCGACATTCACGAAGAACTGAAGCGCACTGCGCTCGATCCGGCGGGCGGCCACTCACCCGTGTCGCTGCGCTTCGGTTGCAAGGTCGTATCCTGCTCGCCGGAAGAGGGCGATGTAGTGCTCGAGTCCGGCGAGACTGTGCACGCGGACCTAGTTCTCGGAGCAGACGGCATCAAGGTGCGCTGCCCGTGGTCGGGTTGCGTCTCTTGATCAGTGCTCACTGATCGCAGTCGCTCATCCGCACGCATGTGCTAGGACACGTACAAGAAGCGTTGCCCACGGGGATCACTTGTTTGCGCACGGTGTACAAAGCGCCTCCGAGAGACGGCAGCTTCACAGGCCTGGAGTGGTTCGACGAGGGAATCGCGGGCGTTCGCTCTGTTCCCTCGCAGGGTCTCCCCTTCCGGATGATTCTTTGCTATCCGTGTAGGAGTGGAGAACTCATCAACACGATTCACTTCTACACGGAAACGGAAGAGGAGATGGACGGTGGGTTACGATACCCCTCCCCACCGACCAAGTGCTCATTCTGAATCTGCAACCAAGCTTCGATCACACCGATCACCGCAGCGCAGGTGCGCGCCAAGTTCGCCGATTACCACGCCAAGTTCCACCGCCTGCTAGACCTGCAAAGCCATAGCGGCCAGATCCTCCGCTGGCGGCTGCGCACGGTCCCCGCACTGCCGACATGGTCCAAGGGCCGCACTGCGATCCTCGGTGACGCGGCTCACGCGACGGTTCCGTTCTTGGCCCAAGGCGCGGCGATGGCCATCGAGGACGCGGGTGTTCTCGCGGGCCTGTTGCCCCTCGGAACTACGCGCGAGGACGTCCCGGCGCGGCTCGCTGTCTGGCAGGACATCCGGAAGCCGAGGGCGGATTTCGTGAACAGGACGTCAGTTGAGCAGGTGGCTGCTATCATGTCTGGGCGGCATCAAAATGCACATGGTGAGTGTGTTCTCTGGGTGAGATGGAGCCGTGTCACTGACTCTCCAAAGTTCAAGGCAACACGCGCGCAAAATTGGCAGAATACGATGCGATTGCCGCCGGTCGTCAGGCTTACCAGGATAAGTTTGCTAGCGGGCAGAATGCCTAGATTCAGAAAGTATCAGATCAATCCATTTACCCCTGCAATTCGGTGCATGTCCTGTGTTTTAAATTCACAGTCATCTTGAATCAGATATAGGGTACCATTACCTGCGCAGTGACTACGAAAATAGGTCAAGATATGGTCATTCGATCAGACAGTGAGAGACGCGACCGATGCTGTAAGTATGCTACAGAAGGGACACAACTTGTTCCACTGTGAAGGTAGAATCAGCTCAGACTTCCAGTCAGGTATATCCTCTTCAAGCCCGATGGCAGATCCTAACTCCAAATGTCAGTCAATGGGGCAATGTAGGGACCACGCTTTCCAGCCATCAGTAGTTCATCGGACAGAGGAGACACGGCGGTGAGTGGCCACTCACGTCCACGGTTGTCCATGAAGAAACGAATCATTACATTGTCACCAGCGTTGCCGATGCCGACTACGTCGCGGCGAGCGGATTTCACGCAGTTGTACGTGCTGCTTCCGGCCGTCCGGACCAAATCAAAAACGTGTCCGTGCAGATGGAAGGGTTGCTTTCGGATCCCATCACCGATCAAGCTATGAGATGTTCACTACTGTCATGACCAGAATCGCTACTCGCACAGATTGGTAACACGACATGAGAGGGTGAACAATCGTGTTCACGAGAACGGAAGAGCCTTGAAGAGCGCCGTGGCACCAAATCGTTGCTCACGGGAATTCTATGACATGAGTTGAAAAATTACAACTTCCGTGTCGTGAATAGCAATGTGTAACGCATCAGACTATATTCGCGCACTGGTTTTCCGCGACTAAAAGACCTCTGGGACGTAGAAAGAGATGATGGGACTGGTTCAATTTCTTGCTCGTGATCATGACTTGGCGGTACTCGTACGCCCCGTTCCATCGAGCATAGTTCCCGGCTGTTCCGCTTGGAATGAGAAACAAGCCATGAGGATGGGAAGTAAGATCACGCGTAATCGAACTGCGTTCATGCGGTGCTTCGGAGACCTCTGCTCGACCGCATGTCGGGTTATTTTTGAATGCCACAGCTCAGCAAATCCTGATCCGTCTCGCTTTCCCTCACACCCCAAGAGTTGTCCAGCCGCCGAGACACCATTGAACGACTTGGTGATTTCAATTATCCAAATACACTCTGCTGGAAGCACTTTTCACTGTGAGTTCCAAGTAGCCTACAATCCAAACTCTCACAAACTCAGGAGCAGACCAGTGATGAGGGCCTTTTGCAGGCAGATTCATGAATGCAAGAGCAAAATGAACATTCTTACAACACTCTTTCGCTCCGGACTTTCGTTTTGATCGGGAGAACGTGGGCGGGCACATAACAAACTATCTTGCATCTCCATAATTATAACACAGAGACGTTACAAAGCAATAACTTCCCGTGGAGCCGCAGTGTGCATCTACGAAGCTGATCTTGAGCCCCAGCTGTGCATGCATTGCATGTTCACGGTTTTGTCAAGTTCCGGTTCACCAACCAAGTCTGACTAATATCGACATTTTGATTCGCCGAGAAATTCCCGCAATACAACGCGCACGTACATCGAAACTCGAAAACGGTTGCAGCTGCTCCTATTTTTGTTCTCCCTGCTCGATCGTTTATTAGAGCAGCTACGAATCCCAGGTAACGAAGCCAAACGCGCAGGCACCTGCGGCAACGACCGGGGTGACATACCAGGAATGACACATGCCAAGTTCCTCTTCTCTCCGCGGCTACGGCTGACAACTCCTTCGCATGCATAAAGATGCACTATTCGTAAACAGATCTCACCTCAGGACGGTACCATGCCCTCTCGACACATCCTCACCTTGCTCGCTCCAGCTTGGGGCCACTCGCTGCCTTATATCCACCTGACGACGCGAATGCTGGCCTCGGATCCGGAGTTGGTCGTAACGATTGTGCAGCACAACATTCTCGGTGTGTGCCTGGAATACCGTCTATTTGTTCTCTTATCCGCCACAACCAGTTCCACAGATGAAGAAGGAGCTGAACTCGTGTTCGTACGATACGAGCAGGTTGAAGATTGAGGGTGTAGGGGACAACAAGTGCGTCTCCAGGTTCGATTCCGGATGCAACTGATTGAAGAAAGCATCCAATTTTCGCCGACGATCGTCGAAAAGATGGTCGAACAGCTTACAGCCGGATGGATCGAACACCTCACGAAAGCAGTCACCGGAGGAACAACTTGGCCCAAGCCTAGAACGCTACACGTACGCCAACTCTTCAGACTCGCTCAGAGGCTCATTTCTTCTGAGCAGATGGATTTCATAGGAGGAGGATTTGTCGCCAAGCGCTCGAAAGCCTTGTTGGGACCGGAAGGAAAGATCCTGCTCTGGTGGTCCACTGGAGTCGCGGCCTGTGTTGACCATTGCAGTGAATACGACTACGCGAAAATCGCGAGCGAGATATACGCCGACGAGAACAAACGAGCGGGCAGAACGATCGAAGAAATTATTGGCGATGTCCGTGCTGTTTGCCGACGGTTTGTGGCCGAACTCATCTCAGCTCTCTCAGGTCGTTTGCGCAGGAAATGGGAGCGATGAACTCGATGGCAGGATCCTAGAAATCGTCGGTGGAGTCAAGATATACGATTATGAGCACAACGCACAGGGCGCAGGATCACCACGGAACCTCGCTCCTGTTCTAGCGGTTGGACAGCAATTGGCTCAATTGGCTGACGGTTTCTTTTGCCCGACCAGCAGCGCCCTCGAGCCAGTCACAGCTCCTCTTTGTCGCGAGTACTACAAACAGCGGGGACAAGAACTGTTCCTTGTCGGCCCTCAAATGCACGATTCTGAATGGGAGGCGCCGTCGGCAGGTCCAGGTCCTAACGATGAAAGAGTGAAATCATTCCTGGCTGGTGCGTACAAGACATACGGGCCGAAATCCGTGTTGTACATCTCTTTCGGGTACGTCCAAGTTTCGTCCTTGATTATGAAATGCACACTCAATTTTTTAAGCTCCCTGTTTTTCCCTGTCGAGACACCTCATCTGCTCGAGGTGATGATCGACGTCTTGCTGGGTCTCGATAGTGTGATCCCCTTCGTGTTTGTGCTGGCCGGGACTATGGGCTCCCTGCCGAGAGATACCATCGATCGTATTCATGCCAGTGGCAGAGGAATTGTATGCACTTATTGGGTTGATCAGAAAGCCATTCTCAAGAGTGGCACAGTCGGCTGGTTTCTAACTCATGGGGGCTACAAGTCAGTTCTATTCACATTGAAGCCTGATATGAATGGGGCTGATTCCTTCGAAGTTCGTTGACTGAAGCACTAAGCCAAGGGATTCCACTCATCTTCTGGCCATTGGGAGCAGAGCAAGCCCTCAATGCGGCAATGCTTTCGACTGGTTTACATCCCATTGGAATCGAGCTGTTTCAGGTCTCTGCCGTCTGTTTCATTCATTCGTTTTGTCATTCACAGCACGCAGATCCGAGCTGGTGCCCAATTGGGCCCTTCTCTCCGTCCTGAAGCACCAAAGATCACAGGGGCAGCTGAGGACGCAAAAATTGAGTTTCAGCAAGCATTCAGTGATCTCAGAGGACTGAGAGGTAAAGTCCTTGGGCAAAATGCTACCCGTATTGAGGAGTTGTGGCGCGTGGAGAGAAACCATGGAGAACCTGTGCAAGAGATCTTAATGCTGACAAGATTCTGAGAACAGGCTGATAGCTAGACATGGGTACACTGATAGAGTTTGAGATGAAGTACACTGGGTATTACATGCAATCGAGAGAGGAATTTCTGCCAGATAAGCAATCTGATCACAAATAAGCATATCAGAAGTTGAATGGGATGATCAGATAAGCAGAAAGGTAATGTAAATCTGGGTTTGGAACACCTCAGTTACCACTGCCATCACGCAGTATAGACCCCGCGGGGGTACAGGGGGCAGCTGGCCATTTTAGGGCAGGGGGATGGGCAGGGGTCAGTAGTGTTGTTCCGGGTCGGGTTGGGTTGGGTCAGAGGCAGGTCAGGTCGGGTCGGGTTGGGTCGGGTCAGAGGCAGGTCAGGTCAGGTCAGAGGTGGGTTGGGTCGAGGGATTTTGCCCGACCCAACCTGGGGGACCGGGTCGGGTCGGGTTGCGGGTCGGGTCTGGGTCGAGACCTGGGTCGGCAGGTTAAAAGATTACAAAACAATTGTATTATATCTAGTACACAGTGTTTTATACGAGCAATAATTACCTGTTGCACAATATTCTACATGTCTTCGTTATCCTCTTTCTCATTGGGTTCATCTGCAAGAGAGTCATCACATGCTTGGAATTCAGGTTAGGGTTTGGGTGGGTCATGGTTGCGGGGTTGTCCGAAGGGTGGTGACAAAGGCGGGAACAAAAAAATCGACAGCCTGTCACATTTTCAGGCTCATGGCTGCGATCCAGAACCCCATGCTTGCGTTGCAGACTGCTGCAGACCTCCAGGGACTCACGTGTCCAATCACCTGATGTGACCCGGGTCAAGACCCGGGTCGTGGGGTTGTGCAGATAGCCCGACCCGACCCCAACCCGGTCTCTGACCCGACCTGACCCACCTCTCAGGTTGGGTTGCTGCGACCCAGGTTTCAGGTTGGGTTGCGGGTTGCGACCCGACCTGGGACAACACTAGGGGTCAGGACAGGAGTCAGGACGGGGGTGCCCATACATACCATGTGACTTGTCCATAAGAGCAGGCAGCTGGGCGGGAAAAAAATCAATCACATGATGCACCAAATGGGCAGGATGGTGGGAAAATCACATGATGAGTAGCAGGAAAAATTTCAAAATGGTGGGGGTTGGCAGGGGCATTGGGGGGGGGGGGGGGGGGGCACTACCACCCCCTCCTGCACACTGCAGCGGGCAGTGGGTGCATTATCACATGAATTTTTGGGGCACCTTTTTGCACCATTTGGCATGATTTTGAAGGTGCTGCTTGATAGATTGCATGTTGCGGCAGACAGTGGGTGCAAAATCACGTGATTTTCCGCCAAAAAAAAGGAAGCCTCTCTAAATCATCCCTGTATAATTTCCATAGGTAAATACACTAATTGACTATGCATTTGAGCTTAGAAAACCCCAAATGCACCCTGCACAATAGGATTGTTGATGCGCTTGATCCTATCATCTGGTGGGGTCTGCCACGGGGTCAGTCTGGCATATTCTATATTTGACCTCCTTTAGCAGTAGCAGTCGTGCTGCTGACCACCAGGGCAAGAATACAAACATTTATGAAATATCTTATCAAGGCAGACAAAGCCAATAGGGCAGGTGAAGATGTAAGGGCAACCTCAATGCCCAATCTCAGAGTCCTGACAAGGGAGTGTCCAAAGCATCAGATAAGGGGATTGACTAGTACAGGAGACTGGCAAACCTGTCAAGGGAGAGTCCAAAGAGAAACCGAGTTGGGGACTCTCCTTGTCAGGGCCCACTATATATAGCCTAAAGAACAATGGATGACCAAGCACAATGGAAACACCAGTGTCATAATTCAGCCCTTTTTCATCTTAATCTTATCTTATCTTGGCACGGATTATCTTATCACAGATCACAGCATCAGACAGTCCGGACTAGGGGTTCCAGGGATTATCCTTATCAATTTGAGGCTGTGCAACATATGCTCTGGAAGGTTCTACTACAACCCATGACTAGTGCTCCATGCGGTACATAGCCTTATGACCCATTAGTTGTAGATATGACTCAGACTGGATTTGGGTATAAATACTGTAGCTACTTGGTTGTATTCTTCAGTCTTCAAATTCACTTCTCTTTTCAACATTATTTCTTGTTGATTGTAACATAATTCGAAGACTCCCCTCATACTCTCCTACCTCATACCTCTTACCACTGCATCCCTCGCTGCTCTGCCTGCTATATCCTCATCACTCTTTTACCAAATCATCTAGTTGCTCTCTGCAATTGCAGCAAACGGTTCATATCAAGCAAACAGCACCAGGCCATGGGTAACGTTGAGCCCAACCCAAGCCTTACGGTAGCTACAAGGAGTGCTGCGGAGACCTTTGGGAAAACGCACCTTGGGATCATCAGGCACGTGAAGAGCTAGGCCCAGGATCTTTTTGCTAGCAAAAGAACCTTTTCTCGAGTGCTTGTACAGCACACAAATCCACCATTTTGTACCAATTCCCATCGTTGTCTGGGAGTCCGTCCCCTCCCCCCATTGTACCATTGTCGCTCAATCTGGCGCACCAAAACCAACCCGGGACCTCTAATCCCTACCTCGCCCTCCCGCTGCCTGAAGACGAGATCCTAGACCTTGACGAGTTACCCTCCAAATAACCACCTCCACCTACCACGCCTGCTCCTACCATGTCAGGACATCACCGCATCACCCTTGCTGCCAACCCTCCCTACTTCAATGGCGATAAATCCAAGTACCTGGGCTTTGTGGACACGTGCACCACTTACATCGGTGCCTATCGATCGGAGTTCTCGCTGGACAAGACAAAAATCCTCTTCATCCTTTCCTACCTCCGTAATGAGACCGGCACAAGCTGCGCCACCTCGAGATGGGCAATGAACGGGAAGCAACACAATTTCAAGGGCTTCCAAGGAATGAAGGCGGGAGTCACCGCGACAAGCTTCTTGGAGGAGCTCCAGAGGGCCTTTGGGGATTCTAACGCAGAACAAGTCGCTGCTGCCCGACTCATGGCCCTTTGTCAGGGCAGACGGTCCTTCGCGGACTACATTTCCAACTTCGAAATGCTGGCTGCAGACGCCGGATACAATGTGGTCACCACCACAAATGACCAGGGCGAATACAAGAAGGGGGATCAAGACAATATCCTCATTGAGTTTCTTGAGCGAGGGCTCAGTAGCCAGATCGTGAGCCGCCTCTTTAACACAGGTGTTCCCCTGCCCAAGGCATATGGCGCCTTCAAGAACTGGTGTGTCAACATCGAGGCCAATGCCTTGCGCAACCAGCTGCGTAAGGCATCCTATGCGCACTCAACTCCGCGGCCTCCCCCCCCAATTCCGCCCTCAGGCAGCACCAGCGGCGCCCACACCCGCCCCGACCCAGCCGGCTGCCAATAAACTGGTCCCGATGGAAATTGATCGCACGCATGCCCGCAGCCGCAATATCATCTGCTACAACTGTCAGTAGCCTGGGCACATTGCGCGGAACTGCCCGGAACCAAGGAAGAAGCGCACATTCTTCAATCGGGCCACGATGCTTGAAGAGATCGAGAACGGGGACAAGGACAACAAGTTCCTCAAGGAGATTACCAAGAAGCTGCGCAATGAGGGTTTTTGAAGTGCTCCACTTCTCTAGCCAAGGAGGTGGAGCATCCGGACTATGGACATTTTTCTATACTTGTTTCTATTGAAGATACGGACAATATTTCGCCTACATACACGATCTCTAACTCACTACGTACGAATATTCATGATTTTCTCATTGCCAATATGGAAAAAGAACGCCAAAGAAAAATAGCTCTAAATAGAGAGTATTTACAGAGTAAAAAGGATCAGAAAGCTGCGGATGAATTAATTTTGGACTCCTACGTATTTATGGCTCGTGGAGAAGAAACCACGTCAACAAAGACCGAAAAGGGGAGCATCGCTCTGTAGGCTCAATCCTTGGAAAAGGAGGAAGCGCCTAAGGAATCTGCCGAAATCAAGGTTCCAGAAGCACCCAAACGCACAAGGGTGCCAGATGCCATCCAAAGGAAATTGGCAGCCAAGAGACAGAAGGGCCCCCAGCCCAGCAGACTGGCGCAGGAATTGCGCAACTACCAGGCCAAAAGGAAGAGGCATTCGATGGACATATATGTCCAGATCACAGGCCTGGACTCAGGAAAAACGCGCGGTGTCAAGGCGCTACTTGACAGTGGCTGCAGTACCTGCTGCATTGATACCAACTATGCGCAGGCAGAGAAGCTGGATATCCAAGAGTTTCCACAACCCATCGTGGCTCGTAATGCTGACAACACCGGGAACATCAGTGGCCAGATCACACATTACGTTGACTTAAGGATGAGAATCGGCCCTCATGTGGAGACACACACGTTCCTTCTGACGTGTTTGGGAAAAGCTTGGATCTTCATTGGTCTTGATTGGTTGACAGAACACAACCCCAAGGTGGATTGGCAGGAGCAGACAATGAGATTCAGTCGATGCCCAGAGCGGTGTCACATGAGGGGTCATGAGGAACATCAAGCAATGATCGACATGGATGCAATCGACCTGGACACGGACACGCCGGATCTGGAAGACAGAGAATCGATCCTGTTGGTCGACTTTGGGAAGGAAGTGGATCTACGGCTGTGTCAGGGGAACCCCTGCTTTCGTCCGATCATCATGGGATCTCGCATGTGACCGCGCACGTGCTATCTGTCAAGCGTCACATGCTTCGGTCCGGACTCCCCTGCCAAGCGCGTCCACATGACACTCCAGCCCGGGCCCCCATTGTTCCGACGGTCCGGCCCCTCATTGTTCCCTGGCCCCATTGTCTGGCGCTTCCATTGTGCTTGGTCATCCATTGTTCTGTAGGCTATATATAGTGGGCCCTGACAAGGAGAGTCCCCAACTCGGTTTCTCTTTGGACTCTCCCTTGTCAGGTTTGCCAGTCTCCTGTACTAGTCGATCCCCTTATCTGACGCTTTGGACTCTCCCTTGTCAGGACTCTGAGATTGGGCCTCGAGGTTGCCCTTACAGGCTGAAGGAAACACCGGCACAGAAATTTGCAGAAGAAGCGGAAAAGGAGAAGAAGAGAATGACCAAGGGAAAGATTCCAGATCAATACCGGGAATTTGTCAAAGTATTTGCCAAGGAATCGTTCGACTTGCTACCAGACCAACAGGCATGGGATCATGCAATCGAGCTCAAACCCAGTTCCAAAGCAGTGGACTGCAAGGTGTACCCATTATCACGAAACGAACAGGTCAAACTCAACAAGTTCTTACAAGAGAACCTAGCCAGCGGATGGATCAGACCATCAAAATCACCCATGGCATCAGCATTCTTCTTTGTCAAGAAGAAGGATGGCTTGCTACACCCCGTACAAGATTATCGGAAGCTGAATGAAATGACAATCCGGAATCGATACCTGCTGCCGCTGATCTCTGAGCTGGTCCACAACCTATGCAGCACCAAGTTCTTCACAAAGCTTGACATCCGGTGGGGATACAACAACGTACGGATCAAAGAGGGTGATGAGTAGAAGGCTGCGTTCTGCACAAACCGCGGGCTATATAAGCCCTTAGTTATGTTCTTTGGCCTCACAAACTCCCCGGCGACCTTCCAAAACATGATGAACAACATACTCCAGGAACTGATCAACGAGGGTCACGTGGTAGTTTATCTTGACGATATACTTATCTTCACAGAAAACCTGGCTGAACACCAGTGGATCACAAAGCGGGTACTCCAACTGCTCCAAAAGCACAAACTGTACCTGAAACCCAAAAAGTGCGAGTTCGAACGCACGGAAATCGAATATTTGGGTGTAATTATTGGACACAATTTGATGCGGATGGACCCTGTCTAGATCAAGGGCATGATGGAATGGCCAGAACCTAAGAGCATCAAACAAGTCCAAGCTTTCCTAGGGTTCACCAACTTCTATCAGCGCTTTGTCTGGGGATATGCAGAGGTCGCCAAGCCGTTGACACAACTGACAGGGAAGGCAGGATGGTCATGGGGTACGGATGAGCATGTGGCATTTGATGGATTGAAGAAGAGAATTGCAGAGGATGCGGTCCTAGCACTGCCAAATGACACCGGCCAATATTGTCTGGAAGCCGATGCTTCGGAAGGGGCAACAGGATCTGTTTTGAGCCAAAACCAAGATGGCATTTGGCACCCAATCGCGTTTATTTCACACGAATTAACTGAAACCAAGCGAAATTACGAGATCTACAACAAGGAAATGCTTGCAATCATGCTATCACTGGACAAATGGAGGCAGTTACTGCTGGGAGCCACAGAAACATTCGAGATCTTCACCGATCATCAGAATCTTGAGTACTTCCAGAAGCCGCAGAAACTCAATCGACGGCAAGCACGATGGATCACAGAGTTGCCAGAGTTTGATTTCACCTTATGACACTGGCCCGGCGCACTCAACCGCAAGGCGGATCTCTTATCCTGACGAGCAGATCACAATCAGGGCAAGAACAACAACAAGGATGTCACCCTGCTGAAGCCCGAGTTCTTCCAATCACAAGAAGTCACATTCAAGGGGCAAGACCAGCAGCTAATCAATGAGATCAAGGCTACTCGATCAATTGATGGAAGCGTCAAAGCAGCCTTGGAGAAGTCACTCGTCGGATGGAAAAAGGAAGATGGGCTCATCACGTACCAAGGGAAGCTCTATGTACCAAGGGACAAGGAACTGCGGGACAGGATCATTGGGCTACACCATGACACGCCTTTGGTCAGACATGCCGGGATCAATCGAACACAGGAAATGGTGGAAAGGAACTACTGGTGGCCAAGGATGGGAAACCAAATTCGGAAATACATCCAGACGTGCGAGGCGTGCCAACGGACCAAGACCAGGAGAGCAAGGACAGGGACTCTGCACCCGCATGCAGTCCCAAATGCGCCGTGGGAAATCATCTCCATGGATCAAATCGGACCCCTACCGGTCAGTAACGGGTATGACGCAATTTATGTGTGGTGTGACACCTTCACCAAAATGATCCACGTCGAACCAATTAGTACTGACATCAGCAGTGAAGGAGTCGCACAATTAACCAGGGACCGAGTCTTCCGATACCACGGGATCCCCTGCAAGATCATCACCGACAGGGATTTGCGTTACATCAAAGGCTTCATGAAGGAGACAAATCGGATGTTGGGCGTGGAAATGAATCCGGGGACCGCATATCACCCAATCACAGATGGACAAACGGAACACATGAATCAGGAGATCGAGCACTATCTCCGCATCTATGTCAATTACCATCAGACAGACTGGTCGGAGTGGCTGGGGATGGCGGAGTTCGCATACAACGACAAGATGAACACATCTACCAAAATATCACCGTTCTACGCCAATCACGGATATCACCCATGGAAGGGAGTGGAACAACGGATGGAATCGAGGAACGAGTCGGCGGAGGAGTTTGTAAAAAGAATCAAAGAAATACAAGACGAAGCAAAAGCAGCATTGGAAAAAGCAAAAGAAAAAATGAAAAAATACTACGATAAACAAAGAAAAGAAGTTCCGGAGTTGAAAGTTGGGATGAAGGTGTACATAGAAGGGGAAAATATCGAGACGGATAGACCATCAAAGAAGATGAGCGACAAGAGATTAGGACCATACGAGATACTGGAGAAGGTTGGAGCGGCTGCATGGAAGCTGGATTTGCCGGACACGGACCAAAGACACCCGGTGTTCAATGAGTCACTATTGACACCATATCACGAACCACCCCCCCATTGCCGAGAGAAGAGGCCCGTAGCCAAGATGATTGGAGGAGCAGAGGAGTGGGAAGTTGAAGAGATCGTGAAAGAGCAAAACGTCGGCCGAGGAAAACAGTACTTGGTCAAATGGAAGGGCTGGCCGCATAGCAAAAATACTTGGGAACCATCACGTCACCTTACCCACGCAAAAAAGGTCCTGAGAGATTGGGAGAGGAAACAATCCAACCCAGACACACGCATTCGCCTCCTGCCAACGCTCAAAGCTGGACACTGGGACTATCTCATTCACCACTACAAACCCAAAGACGAGCGCCTTCCATATCCCCAACGACAACTCTTCGATCCCTACGAGAACATCTTCACCCCCATTGGCCTAGTCGATGAGGACATTGACCCTAGAGAGGGGGTAATGTCATAGTTTGGCCACTTTTTCATGTTATCATCAACAATCTTATCTTATCTTGGCATGACTTATCTTATCACGGATCACCGCATTGGACGGTCTGGGCTAGGGGTTCCAGGGATTATCTCTATCGATTCGAGGCTTTGCGACATATGCTCTGGAAGGTTCCACTACGACCCATGACCAGTGCTCCATGCGGTACATAGCCTTATGACTCATTAGTTGTAGATATGACTCAGACTGGATTTGGGTATAAATACTGTAGCTACTTGGTTGTATTCTCCAGTCTTCGAATTCACTTCTCTTTTCGACTATTGTTTTTGGTTGATTGTCACATTTCTCATACTTGATCTCGCAGGAATATCTCTCCCTTTGCCTCATACACTTGGGCTATGCTAATGTGCTCAAATCCCAAATTTTGGGTGCCCAGTGGTCCACCATTTGCAAGCAGTAAATACAGGCTTCTGAGAGCTAAGACATTGTCTGAGACTTCATAATGACTACTGCAGCATATATTAGTACTCAGGCTGATTCCCAGCCTACCATGCAGGCGGTGGACAAATGGCCAGGCAGTGTCCCGATCAGGAAGACACCTTCAGAATGGCCTCCAATCAGGGGGGTGGGGGTGGTTTGATGGCCTCTGGAGGTGGCCTTGAAGCCATTTTACATCATAATGGGAGGTCCCTGAGGTGTGTAGTAGAACCTTCTAGAGCACATGGTGCACAGCCCTTGTACAGATAACACCTCTGAACCCCTGACCTGGACCATGTGGTGCCGTTGAAATGCTGAGGGCGTGCTCACAAGTGAATCTACTATGAAAGTAAACCCAAATATAAACACGTTCACACTCCTCGTAATCAGCTTCTCAGTGTGTGAAAGATGCGAGGGCTTCGGGGTGGACAGAACACCAGTATCACAGCTCTCAATAGACGCAGATCCAATAGTCGCGGAAGACGAAGTCGACGACAAGGATATATATATATAGCAAACAGTGGTGTCTCAACCAATATCTTCTATACAAACACAACCAACACTAATCCAATCCACAACCAACAATATAACAAGTCAGAACTTAATACGAAGTATTAAGATCCCTTGTAGCGACAGCGTCCAGAAGGTGACGCAAAGCCCAAATATCAAGTCGACACACTGCCAACTGATACAACCAATATACTGAGTCGACGCACTGCCAACTAGTAGAACCAGAATGTCAAGTCGACGCACTGCCAACTGACACAACCAAAAGTACTGAGTCGACGCACTGCCAACTAGTAAACCAAAATGCCGCGTCGACGCACTGCCAACTAACAGCCAATATCCAATGTCCAAAACCCGAGCACAACTTGTCGACGCACTGCCAAGCAAGAAGTGTGGAACCAAAGTTCTCAAGTCGACGCACTGCCAACTGACCAAAACAACCCGAGCACAACTAGTCGACGCACTGCCAAGCTAGAGGTGTGGAACGATCTCAACAAAGCCCTAAGGCGACGACACTAAATGCCGCGACAATACCAGATGCGGCGAATCCGACTTTCTGATATCT